CATAGAAAGCGGTGAGTGTGCAGAGCTGTGTTAAATGTGATTGAAATCTTGGTTTAGAGTTTTCTCTGTTTGGTTATGGAGGTGTTTGGCCGAGTGGATTGCTGTCAACTTGACCCTTCCAGGCTCTGAGGAAGGCGAAATTCGCCGAAACGTCAGCTTGTGCGTAAATAAGGAAATAAAATAGCACCTCGTGCTTGCTGAACAGAAGTAGAAAGATATATTCAATCAATGCCGAGGTTAATAGAAAGTCGGACTTGGGAGATACTACCACAAAGTTGAAAGGCAAGCTTTGTAGAAGTACGGCAAGCGTTGAAACAAGTAAGAACAAGGCTTAATGATAGTAAGTGTGCGCGTAGGTGGTTGCCCTGTGAAACGACGTTTGGATCATCTTCCATTCTACTCTAACACTCTTTTCATCCACCTCCGGACCAAAACCTCCTACGATTGTGTTCCGGTAGAATTTCAGGAAACTTTGTTCAAACTTTTTGTGGGTAATGGACATAATCCACGGCGTGGTTAAGGTATCAACAGTCATCTCTGGGCAGAGCACTAAAACTGCTGACCCAGAGATGTAGTAAAGGGGTCTTGTGTTCCATGGATGGTCCGTGAATTGTGTGAGTACGAACACGGCTCACACTGCTTCCCATGCTTCCCATATTTTGTATACTTTTCCCTTCATGGTAAAGCTTGGATATCCCAGTAAGATGAGAACAAAGCATTTCGATACAATCTTGGTCAAATTACTGTCTTTCATGAACTAGCTCTGGCTCGTTTTTACCTTTCGCATAAGGATAGCAAGGCACTGTTATGGCACAACTTTCTTTGAAATTGAACAGACCTACTACTCGGAATGGGATCACTCCGCGAATCTTTGCTTTACATTAAACAAAATCGACATCAACGAAACGGTAGTTGTTTCGGTGTTTTAGCATCGTGGGAATCTCATGGACGTTCTCACAGTAGGAAATTGGACAGTTATTAGTCAGTAATCATATAACCTGCAATTTTTCGCCCGTAAAAATGAATGATAAAAGAAAGAATAAAGTTCTCGGAGTTGAGCAATCTCTGAGGGATGCGCCATGGACTCGACCTCATTAAGCATCGTTGGAGGTGATTAAACGCATATCTGGCTTTTACGATTACTCGCGGTGCCTACCGATGTATCGAACCAGTGCTGCTATCGTTCCAGACAAAAATGGTACCAATTTGCCGATTCCGGAGGGATGGAAGGCTTGGTGGGCCAGGTGCACGGGGATCGATCCGGTGTGCATTGCAGGATGCTTCCAACCTTCCAACCACTGCGCTATATGCGCCCCTAAAAATGAATGGTAACAGCTCGAATTCTGCTTCTTCTAAGCTCGTGCCGAATTCTATCGCGTCACACTTAGTGGCGCACAGATTTATAAAGTTCGATAGATGTCACTGAACTTCGAAACACGGAACGTAACAGAAGTTTCCTATCCAGCTCAAAGACTATTCGTATTAAGAATAAGTCCTTTTAACGTCATCCAAAGCCTTAGTAGAAATCGCTGCTACTAGTAAGACAATTACTCTTAGGTTGTCTTCGGGAAGAGTATGAAATCATAAGGGTGAATAATATAGGCTGTGGACAAAAGGGATACGTAATGCGTGTGAACGGCAACTAATGGACAGGAGTAGCCAGCGACTACGATACTCGAGATGTCAAACACACAAAGGAAAGACCATCGAGCCGATGGTGAGAGATCTTTTTCGAATACTACAAGGAAGATATGATCCATAACAAGTCCCTAGAGGGAACATAATCTGCCAGGCTACTCTTGTACGGGACAGGAATAAATGGAGAATTCGATGGCTTCCGCTCGAGGTAATCGACGAACTACGACGGGACAACAGGTGATGCAGGTGATCGACAGCACTCATTCCCTGACCACTCCGACTTATAAGCTATCATCCCGACGATTCAGGACGGTCTCATGAGTTCCTTCAAAAGTGGTATGCAACTGTGTGTAATTGCACACAAAGTGTTCGATTGCGGAATAAGGACGTCGAGTACTACTCAGGAGTACTTGACATAACGACACCATCCAATCTGGGTTTGGTAGTACACGACTCGTTAGCCCCTTATTTCACCATCCATAGTCCGCACCTGTACTTTGTTCCAATTTTTGACGTTTATTATCTGTTCCTAGTAGTCTCATAGACTTTTTTCGTCCTCTACGGCATGTGCAACTAAATAGTTCCATCATAATACGATATGCGTGGTGAAAAGCCTACAGAAGAAGAACTGCAAGCCTCACTCATTCCATTGGTGATGCGGTTTTCACCAGATTCCTTATCGTCTGGCTAGAGCTGGGTGATATTTCCTTTGCACACGACGTGACGAAACCCGTTCTGACCGTAATCAGCGCAAGGTTACCTCTATTTGGGTTCCATTCTGGGTTTCAGTTGTTTCCATGCGCTATTACCGAGCTATTTCCACGCTGTTTCTCTGAATGGCGATTTTTTCTTTGCCGACCTGCAATCGTTAATGGAAAACGAGGATATGTAATCACAATTTCTGAGGGTTTAGGAATTCTGATCCTCACTATTTCCCACTAGTATCTGTCCTACTGGGCGACCGATAATCTGTCCTCATTGGCGTCGTCACGAAACGCTTGTTTTGGAACACGTTTCCTATCTTCTTTTTCTTTCATCCCTTCTTATTTTCTTTTTTTTTCTCATTCTTTTTTTTCGGACTTTTACAACAGCGCACTATTTGCTCATTGGTAGCGCTTAATGATAGATTGATTACAGCACCTGCAGACGAGCGCAGAGGAGTTATGGCTTAAAAGCAAAATGACTTCGCCAACAGTCAGACGTCACGTAAGTCTGCCTTCAGGTGATTGATTGTTTTGCTTTTGCATTCAGTAATTATCCGGTATTAACTTGTTCTACCGATATCTTCGATTAGTACATAAATCTTCTAAGAAGGGCAGTACAAAAAATCAATAGATTCTCGCTGGTTTACTAGTTGCGTAGACACGTGTAGCGCAGTGGTCGGACGTGCCCTGCAATACAGATAGGATCTATCCTCGCGCTCCATGCCCACCAAGCCTTCCATTCCTCTGGGGTCGGCAAATTGGTACTAGACTTGTATGGGAGGATAGTAGCAATGGCTCGACACATCTGTAGACCACTGCGAGTCGTAGTATAGGCCAGATATGCGTTCAGTCACCTCCAGCGATTCTCAATGAAGTCGAATGCATGGCGCATCCCTTAAGGTTTGATCGACGCCGAAAGCTTTGTCCTTTATCTTTTCTTGTCTTGATTGGTCTAGTCTCTAAAATTTGTCCAATTAGTAACAATAAATTCCATGGCAAATGCTCACTAAGTAATAATGGAGCATGAGTCAGCGCAACACATGCATAAAACAACAATTCCATAAACGGCTATTAAGAAACAAGTTTTGAAATGCCTTACTTCACTCTCCGAATGGCTCCAGTTATGCTGATAACTGTGCTATAACCCTTTGATCTGTGTGCATTTGGGCGTTTGCTAAGCCCAATAAACACTTAGGTTCCTCTGTTTCTGATGGGATCAGGTCCTAAGTAAATTGAGCCTGGGCGTTGGTGGAAGTTGCGCAAACGGGGTGACCTACAGAGACTGGTATTTCCACATATATAATGTATAAACATATAGTATATATGTACCTTATGCTTCTGCTTTTACATTCATGGATACGTGCTTGGATGTGCTTGCTTGTGATGCGCATTCTATCCGGCTTACACGTCCAAGAACTAAGTTGCATATCAACGCATTTCTAGTTGTTACCGGAACCTGGTGAACCTCTCATGAGCAACCTTTAGCCTAAGCCAATGAAAAGAGCAAGTCTGTTATCAAGCCATAACGACAGTGTAAGGTAAACACTGCCGTACCACTGTGTATAGAGCTTACCTTTGTTTTTTGAGGTGTTTGGCTTTCAGATTTATCTTCTTTACAACAGGCTGTATGACTAAGCTTTGTGTTCCGTAAGATGGAGTTTTCACACATATCTACAGGCGAGTCCTTCCAGGTTTCCGCTTATGCTTCTTTGATGTAGTAAACGTTAGTTCTTTCTTTTTTATTTATGTGTTCTTATTAACTAATCTTGCTGAGCTGATGCGAGGTTGGTATAAGTTGTCGTTGTTGTTGTTGGTCAATGGCTGACGTTTCAGCGATTTTGCCTTCCTCAGACCCGTGCTGTTACGAACGGACTCAAGATCAGTTCATAAGAATATATAAATAAATATATCGACTGTTTATGCTGAGGTTTATAGAAATTTGGTCTTTTGAATTTTTTCTTTATTTGAAAAGTAGCTTTTGCCTATTTAGTTAAGAAAGAGAGAGCCGTTCTATTAATTATGCCTCTTTTGTGCTAGTGAAACGAAGATTGCCATATTTCAAGTACTCGTTTTTTCCCGTGAAAGGTTACAGCAGTCACTATTTCGCTTTTATCATGTCGGACTAGAAATTTCTCACCACAGACATGAGTGGTGATGCCCTCCTTGATGGTTTTATAATGTACGCTCTACAGGACTTTGTGGTGCTGCACCTCAGCAAATCTGATTGATGGCGGAACAGTAAGGATCTATGCTGAAGAGTGTTTTGTATGTTCACGTCTGTTCCATTCTCTTCGTACGGTTTTTCATTCGAAATAACTTTTATAGGTTGTGCAACCTTCAGAATGAACAGTTTGTGCTGTAACACCCTTCTAAAGTTACGATATAACCTTTTTGGCTAACTATATTTTAAAGTTAGTATGCGGTTATCCTACATTTTTATGTCTTGTATTGCTCTCTGGTTTGTGACCTCGCAGTTTACTTTTTTCTTATGTTTTGTTTCCTTAAGACGTTATTAAATGTCCGTGTTCACAGTTTTATAAAGGTTTTTAGAAGGTTACGCTATTTGCAGTGTTGGTGTCCAACCATAAACTTTACCCAGTTTTTTTTTTTAATTCCATTGTGCGAGAGATTGCTGATAAGTATTACTTCCACATTTAGATGTTAGAACTTTCACTGAAAGAGTTGAAAGATCTTGCCGACGACAATGAAATAGACTTATCAGCTCGTGGTCTTACAACAGTTCCAAAGGCTTTACCACAGGTTCTTCCTTGGTTCTTATCTAGTTCAAACTGCGTATATGACCGCCTTAAATTAGTCGCATAGCGCGTGTTGCGCAGTGGTCCGGGGCGCCCTGAAATACACATGAGATCGATCTCTGCGCCCAAGGCTCACTAAGCCTTCCATCCGTCTGCAGTCGGCAAATTGATACCAGACTTGCCTAGGAAGATAGCAACATTGACTCGATACATCAGTAGGCCACCGCGAGTCATTATAAAAGCCAGGTATGTTCAATCACCTCCAACGATGCTTAGTGAAGTCGACTGCATGGCGCACCCCTCAGGGATTGATCAGCGCCAAGAGCTTTAGCCTTTTATCCTTTAGTAGCATAACCGGTGTACGTCATGGTATATTCGTTTCCTGCTTCTTTAGGTCCCTCGTTTGACTCATGTGGATCTAGGATCGAACAGAATTGCAGCTCTTCCACCATCAATCTGTACAATGACACGTCTCGTAAGGTAATACCGCTCAACTTTTGCCCTTGCAGGTCTTGTGCATCTCTTCACGTAGTTCTATTTAAGGCTTGAGCTGGGTAGTAATTTACTTGGACATCTTCCTGATAATATTGGAGCTCTTGTCCATCTAGAACATTTTGATCTCTACAATAATGAGATAGAGGCGAGTCGGTTCACTCAAGTGCTATATGATTAAGAAGCTATAGTATCCTAGAGTCTAGGAACTTATTACTCGGGTTTTCAATCTATAAAATGGTTATATACTTTGTATTGTTTTAAACTCTCTTGGAAATATTGAGGGGATGTCTTATGCTTGTTGCTACCAACTGCAGCAGAATAACTGAATTCTGGGTTATAGCGTTTGAATCCTAAATATTTCCTATACTTCTCGTATATTTTCATAATAAAATTTCTAGGAGCTTCCACTTTCGTTTGCTAATCTGTGCTCCCTCCGGTGGCTCGATTTGAAGAAAAATCCTCTCAATCCAGAATTACTAAAAGTAACTGGTTTTGTATGTATTTCCCTTCCGCGCAATGTTCCACTCGTTCCTTCATCCTTTGCAGGCGGCCGGTAATTGTGGTAATGAAAAAGAGTGCCGACATGCAGCAGTGAATGTGGTTTCTTATATGAGAGTATTGTCGAAAGTTCACCACAATGAGGTAAAAGGCGTTTTCTATTCGAAATAACCGTGAAGTAGAATGTTAGTACTCCTTCTTAAGCACTTAAGGAATTTGGTGTTACCAATATTCTTTTTTATGCGCAAGATTTATGGTAGACCCATCATAATCAGGTTCTAAATCTAGAGGAACTGTGAATGAAGAATTCTTTATATTCTTGTTTAGCAACCGCGAATTTTCATTTTATTCATTACTCACTAACAAGCTGACGTTTCGGCGGATTTTATCTTCCTGGGAGCCTAGAAAGTTGACCGCAATCAACCCAGGCAAAAACTTCCATAACCAGACAGAATGCTAAAGCATTAGTGCAGTGGACGTCCAGAGATCATACGTGATCTAGCTCCTTACCTTAGTGATCCTGGAGTTTCGCTGGTTTAGCCAGTGTGGTTTCCTGGACGCATGAGGTCAGCATAGCCAAAGTCTTCCTCAGGTCATCACCACCACAACTTGGGAGATGCTGCCAAGAGAATGAATCCCCCGCTGTACATCGTAGCCCGACACCCAGGAACACCTCCCCACCACGATGAGGCGTTGGGAGGTGACATAGTATAGATAGTATCCTATATCTAACAAGACTTTTAATTCAGGATTTTTTGTTTTAGATGATACAGCAGGAGAAGGTAATCGAAAGGATTCACGAAGTCAAAGGAGAAACGAAGGAACCTAATCACAGGAATCGGAAGAAACAAAGCAGAAAAGATGTTCATGTGCCAGCTAAACATAATGGTAAGTGTGATCGGTCCATAATAGGCGGTGTTTCATGTGCTAAAGTTGTTTTTGATAAGCGTAAAATATGTACCCCACCATGTTAATTTCTATAAAAAAATTGCATAAGGTGTAATCTTTCTTTCACTAAAAGGATTCAGGTGATCTAAAAAAAGGGTACCATTAATACTCCTGGGAAAGGCTTGCGCATTTTTGTCTAAAAGACAATCTTTCCCAATAGGCTGATGAATCAACTGAATAGAAATTTAATTACTTAGCATGAGCTGTAGGAAAGGCCATGAAATGAATTGCAGTTAACCCTATTTGCATAGTCCAGTTTTGTGGTCCCACCTGCGGTCCATAGTTTTGCAAATATCTCAGCAACGTTGTGGTTGTATTTCGCTTAGTAACCTGCCATGAAAATTATAGAAGGCAGAAAACAAAAACGTTAAACATTGTGATTTCAACTACAGCCACAGCTTAACTGGGTTCTATGCCAATTTGCGCTCCCCAGATCAACCCCGCTGACGGGTGATTGCTGTGGCAAAAAGATCGATAGAAATAGCTGAAAGACAGGCGAAACGAAGGACCCGAATGGTGTGGTGGTGAACGCGTTACTCCCTGGAAAGGACAATAGCGCGTTCGTTCCCCATCATAGACACCTGCGGTCCAGAGTTTTGCAAATATCTCAGCAACGTTGTGGTTGTATTTCGCTTAGTAGCCTGCCATGAAAATTATAGAAGACAGAAAACAAAACGTTAAACCTATTTGCATAATTGAGATGCTGTGGATAAGGGGAAAGGTCGAATGACAGTCGAGTAGTGATTACCTACGATAACCATTATTCGAAAGTAATCGCTGGTTTTGTTTTTAAGTTTTCTCGCGTATTTTAAAGATTTTTGCGTTCATTTTCGTATCATTTATCATTTTAAACTCCAAATTTTGCCCTGTGTATTTTTTTTTGCAAGTTAGACTTGGTCTATTGCAATAAAAATGGGAGAAGAAGATCCGAACAGTTCTTTGCACGAATTGGGACCTAAACGTAATAGTCATGGACGCGGCTCATAATGTGAAGTTTTCATTTGGCCCGAAGACTGTTGAAAATTCTAAGGACGTTGTAAATATTTCGTGATGAAGATAAGAGCTGTAAAAGAGAGGAGGGTTGCGGAAGTTCCGTAATTAGGGACGGTCATTAGTTGACGTCGTTAATTGAAGAAGATTCGCAAAAAAGAATTCCATGCCCTGCAGATGAAGATGTAAGTTAAGGAACAGTTTTAGAACACTTGGAGCGAAAGTTAAAATGGTTTGCCAATGAGCTCCACATAAATTCTGAGGAAGAGCAATGAGGTTATCGTCATGAAGTCTGTTCTCCATTTTTTACAGAACGAAGAGACCTACGATGTGGCCTCACTATTACGGTGACAAAAAGCGGAGTCTTTACAATATTTGCCGCACTGATCGAAGCGTCGAAACTTCTCGAAGCGTTGTCATGTTCCTTTGGTGGTTAGCAGATAGAGTCGTCCAAATAGCCTTTGCTATTCAGGAAAAAAAAGTTTAAGCGGAAGATTTTGTTAGAAGGGCGGCGAAGTGTATCACAAGACGTCTGTGTCCCACACTGTTCAATCGAAAGGGACCAATTCTGTTCAGCCGGCGACAACGCTCGACACGTTGCGCAACAGAGGTCGGGGTCAAAAAGCTTGATTGATAAGGGAACCGTGCTTTTCCAACATGCATCGTCCGGCGTACTCGGCTTTCTCTTGAAACAGCTCACTTTTCGGACCGCGACAATTCCTTGCTGAAGAATCTTCACGAGCAACTCGCTGCCAAAAATGCTCATAGAGAATTGACTAGTCTGAAAAGCGTAGAACATTGTTGTATTGAAGTGAATAGATTCCTAGGTGGTGATTTCAAAGTTCTGACGAATGTTATACCATTTGATGTTTGGTATGAGTTGAAATATGCGTGTTTCAAAGTGAGATTTGAATCTGTGTTAATTTTTCGGGAATTTAAATGATTTAGCCTGGAACATACAAATGGCAATTTATACTTTTCTACCCATACAGAAAATTACATTCTTCGTGTAATTCCACTGAAATATCAACTTTATTAACTTTATACCTTCAAGTTATCTTTGTTTGCATGTGTTCATTCTCTATGTTTCTTCTTGATTTTACTTTGTGGTGGATTCTCTACGTGTCCCAGGTCTACTGCATACAAGCGCTAAAGCGACATTTACACAAGTAAACGAACCGAAGAAGGAAAGAGAAGTTCCGAGACCATCTAAGCCAAACCGAAGCCAAAGTGGTTTATTTTCGAGAAGTATGTTTTTTTTCACAGCGTATGATCATAATTCATTGGTTTTCGTAGACGAACGCGAAGCACTCCTGGTCCACCAACATTTTCCAGTGACACGGTTTTTGATAAAGCTCTGTTTGGCATTTATCGTAATTGGGCTGATGGCCGTTACCGTTGGAATCTTATTCATCTGTTCGAGTTCTGCAAATACTAAACGGGAACACAAGGTATGTGTTCAAACCTATTAGTGATTTCGTTGTATAATTCGTTTATTTAATTCTGAGATACTAAATTGGCTGCATTGTTTGCTTACCAATAATATGGTTTAGTCAACAAAGTAGTCCAAGAACCTCAAATAGGTAGTTTGCATATGAACGCTTATGAAAGTCCTGTATCCGGATCGGATGGTGTAAGAGGATGTTGGTAAAAGACAAACTGAATTACTGCGCTGCATTTCATGTAAGAGGAGAAGCAGGCGATAAGTCATCACTAAAAAGTGGTATAACATGCTATTGTTGTAATAAGCAGAACAATATTTGCTCGCTACACTTGTTCACAACAGTGATTTATTTCATAACTCCGACCTTTCAGGTCCTCTGTGCTGATTTGACAAGCCTATCTAAGTTTGAGAGTCCTTCACCTCAGTTCTTCGCCAATATTTGGAAAGCCTACGCAGACACCTTACAGTCATCAGCTTTGGATTTAGAGAGGAAGTGGAGAGAATTCCACCGTGAATTCGTCAAATCTGATATCGGTTCTGCAGTTCACAGGTGGCTTTTTCTTTGTTTATGTAGCATGAAATAAGTTCTGAAGTGGTTGAAAACTCCGAACGTGCGAAATATTGGTCATTTCTAGATGATTCTTCCTTTGAAATGCTTGACGATGAACAATATTAGCATGGCCATTTTCTGAGAAATTTTTTATTTGCTTTTTCATTTTTGCGACCTATCTTCATATGTGATGTACGGATCCCAGCACTCCTTGCATTCGCTTAGTTTCCTCACATCTACCATCCACAAATGTCTTCGAACTTTTCTCATGTGGGTTCGGCTGCCGCTTGACTATCTTCATTGTCTTCATGGATATTGCTGAAAGCCGGTCGAGTCGATTTTCCTTGGGGTCTTGAGATAGTCAGACTAGAGCGTCTTCACATGGATTGCAGCAAGTGAACTCTTCTCAGACAGATATGGTACCAATTTCGTAACCCAGGAGGCATGGGAAGCTTGCTGAGACTGGTACGAGGTCGAACCAGCACCGTGCTCATGTGAAAGGCACCGTTACCAATCTGATACTCGCACCCTTGTGTTTTCAGAAGACTTTGAAAAACTGAGAGGATTTTTGTCGGCATTTAGCTACCGTTCCATATTCCTTATGGTTAATCGGGGCCTTCAGGTTGATGAATACGTTGTGCCGATCCAGCCATATCAATAATTCATTTTTTCGTCGGATAGTTTCCATCAATTTTTGGATCGGAAGCAGTTCTGACATTATTACATTTGAATTTATTGCACTTGTAATCAGTAATAAGGTGAAGATAAAGGGCTTATTATCAACTTTATCTGCTCTAATGTGAGAGAGAAAATAGTAAAATCGTGGTTTATCAGCGTGAGTTGCATTTTGTTTTTAGACGGTGACACAGAGTTATCTTGTTTCAGTACAAAGTTCTTAGGAAATTAAGTAGTGTTCAGAATCCAAGTAGCGGTGGTTATTTGCTCTGAATGGTTTTAGTACGAAGTGTTTAAAAAAGATATCACTCCACGGTTAGTGTTCAGTTTCTACCACACAACGCACACATTCGTCGTTGGCACGTTCTTGAGAGCTGTTCGATTTTTGGAAGCCCAGGTATCTGTTGGTGATCATCCTTCTAACTGTCCCAGTCATTTTTCGTTCTCAAATTTGTTTCTGACAGCGTGTTGTTCTGATGCAATGGTGGGATACTGATGGAAGCGAGTGGTTAGCCAGTGTAATGGAAACCATCGAGGTTACATTTGCAGTACTGTGTGAGATTGCAAAGGACCTTTTCCAGTTAGTATCGGGTAAGTAGTTTTCTACTGGTCTTTTCTTTTAAGGCTGGTGTTCCTACTGGTTTAAAGGTTGATTGATTCTGTTCTATTTTTTTCTTTTCAGAAACATTACGAAAGATTTACCATCGTGCAGAGGTTTTTGTTAACGTCTGGTCAAATTATGGTTTAGCAAAGGCTATTGATTCTAGCTTTTAAACGCTTCTTTAGCACTTAGGTTTCATCTTGCTCAGTTATAATTGTTTTCTAAAGGGAGTTCTTTATTTTCTCGTTCTGGGTTTATCCACTGAATTATCACTATTTGATCATCAATACTAATTGTTATTCTAGCACCACTCATCTTTTCTTTGTCTTCGCTTACATTTTTTGGAGTGATTTGTGGGTATAAAAACTTTGTTATGAGGGATTCATAGTTTAAAAAGTTAGGTTGCTACTACTTTTAAAATTGATAGCATGAAAAACGAGTTGCTTCATTATGCTCTTTATTGTAAAGGATTCAGACAACTTTTCTCGGAACGCCGAGCAGAACTGTCTGCGCAATTAAATTCTGGAACAGATTTCCTCAGTACGTCTATCTCATCATAGCCTTCTTGGTAGCCTTTGTTCAAACCACCGTCTCTGCTGTGATGTATTGCTTATGGTCGACGCGATTGTTCTGTTAAGTCGCAATGTTAAGATATTCGGTAGAAAATGTCTGACTGTGGTTGGATTGTTCAAAAATTCGGCAATTTTTCCAACTGTATTAATGAAGATGGGAGAAATATGCGATCAACACACTTTTATTGATGTGCTACGATATTGGGGCCTACATCCATAAAGAATTATTGGCTCCTGGGTCCAGTGAAGTCATAAGAGCGAGCTTTTGCGATCTTTTTGATCGGTAAGTGCTTCCGTACGAAAGAAGTAAAAATGTTTAAGAAGTTATGGCGTGTTGATGACTCGTTGGTAAAAATGAGGAACTTTCAAATTCTAGCTCAGTTTCTGGAGCAACACATCTGCAATATAAAGGAGTAAGACCTGCGGTAACACTTTTAGCACATTTGGCTCATTGGTGAGAATATTGCTCCACCAGTTTCTTTGGTATCTCTGATTTTTGTGCCCTAGCTTGCTGATGTTGTTTCAGTTCTTCATCCTTAAAAGGTTACCGTAGATTCTGCCAGCCGAAAATCAGTTGCTTTTGTCTTTATAATGTGGATGTGTTCTAGTTTACAGTCAGGATTCAACAAATAGTGCTGAACGTTATCAAATGTCATATTCTTTCCACTTGTGTATTTGGTAATTTCTTTCAAAAATAATGCTGAGATATGGGGAAAACTCGGAACTGAGATTCGAACCCGAGGTAACCCTTCCCGAGAGCTCACGTGTTACTCACACCACTACTGGGATCCTTGCTTTGCCTTTCTCAGCCATTCTTTTCACCCAAGCTAAAATCGTCGACTTAATAGAGTTTGATACCGACTTGTGCTCCACAGATCACTTCCGCTGACGAGTATGACTGACGGCACCGTTAGGATAAAAAACTGCCCGAGAGAAACGTAGACAAAGACCTCGTTTAGTGTGGTGAATAGAATGTGAGTTCCCATAAAGGGTGTTAAACCCATTTGAAGTCCCAAGTTTCGCCCATATGTCAGTATCCTTGTGGTTGTGTTTCGCATAATACCCTGCCATGAAAAAATAGTGGGTAGTAAATAAAAAGCTATACATTGGGATTTCGACCGCATCTTCACCTTAACTGGATCCAACGCAGATTTGTGCTCTACGGACCATTCCCGTTGAAGAATGATTGCTGATGGCAACATTAGGGTAAGAAACTGGGTAAGAGAAAGGTAGAGCAATGCACTCACTGGTGCAATGGGCAACACGTGAGCTCCCGGAAATGGTAGTCGAGGGTTCGGATCTGGACTGGGATCTGAGTATAGATATCTCAGCATATTTGTGGCTTTATTCCACGTAATACTCCGCAATGAAAAAATAATGAGTAGGTGGAAAGTGATACATTATGCCGTTGTTATTATTTGTTAACATGTTATTATTACTATTGTTATTATTTCAATATCATCATGATTATAAGAACTACTACGACATTGTGTACGACGTACAGTACTTGTGTATATTAGTTGGTTCTTCTTATGTTTAATGAAGTATTAAAGCTTAGTGAGGTAGCTAAATAAGGTGAACAGAGATAACGGCAACTAGTGCATAACGTGTTCAATGAGCAATGAAATGCCATAAGCTTTGACACTTGACACTTGAATGACCCGTCCTCACTGGTTGTGCGAGTCCTAGCATAATCACCACATTTTAGAGACTTGCTGGTTAAGCCATTGTGCTTCCTTGGAATCCCGAGGACAGCCTGGCAAAAGTGTGCCCTAGGTCATCACCACCGCAGGCAGTCGCAGCCTTTGTGGATCGAATGGAGATTTGTCACCATCCGACTTTAACACGAGGACGATGGTGAGTCCTGGTATTAGTTTACTTTTAGCTAGGCTTTCTGATGGAAAGTCGGACTCTTTAGTTTTGGATAGTCTGACACCCAGGAAAACCTCACAGTCACGATGAGGCGGTAAACCGTTGAGCGGAGCCATAATGCCATAAGCTGTCAAGAGATATCGGCATATTGACAGGCAAGCAGAGTATATAGAAATATGCAAAGGAAAGAGGCGGAAATACATTTATTATTTCAAAGTTCTAATAAAATTTTCTTGCAAATTTGGGAAAGGACATGATTCACTTAATTTTTGACTGCCCATGAATACGCATTGTGGAACATTTTTAACCATGGTGAGGAGCAGTTTGTTGTTCTCCACTCTCGAGGATAGTCTGCCCATTGCCACGATAGGAACGACCTTAATAGTAAGTTAAAAACGAGTTTGGCCATCCAAATCGAATATTAATGTAAATCATTTAGTGATCAGCTGTTAAATTTCAGTACAAAAAGCCCTAAATATCCCATTTTTTCCGATATATTTGTGTGATTTGTGTCCAAATATTATGTGGATCCTTGCACGTCTTCCATTTGGTTCGCTGTCGTACGTCCGTTCTTCATTAACGTTTTCGAGTTTTCGTGCTCATTCGCCTTCTACTCGAGGTCTTTGTCTTTTCCATAAATTTTATCTACTACTGATAGAATTAACTCTGTCCGAAGCTCTAGGGTAGGCTCTGATAGTTCGTTCCCAGAAATTTACCACAAACAAGCAGCAGCGAGCTTTTCCCAGACCAGTCCTGCACCAATTTTCCGGTCCAAGAATGATAGGAGTTTTGGTCAGTACGGGACGGAGTCGAATCAGCTAACACGTGTCTACTTGCCGGCTACTTTCCAGTTATTTCTCTAACCAGCGCGACCCTGGCGCCGGATTAGTGTTTTTTAGGTTTAATAGAAAGATGTGTTTCCTGTATCGCATCCGCCCCAAGGTAGTTTACCGTTCTTTCATGATTTGGAAGATGATGTTTCGATGACTACACATTTGTGTCGTGATTTATATGACGTCTTTTGTGGAAATATAATCCACTTTTGTTCCAGGGGAGCAACCTCATCATCTACTGCAATACATGGCTACTCAACCTCGGTAGTATCCATGTAACATCTCGTATCGATCTCACACATCGTTGAATCTCACACAAAGTGGCAGTGGTGAGATGGCGACGCTGCGCAAGTGTAATGCAGCTGACAGAGTTACCGTAGTAAAGTTTTCTTCGCAAGCAATTCATTAGTGAGAATGGAGATATGAACTTTCAGATTTGTGAAGTGTGGTATATTTACCCTTGTTCTGGTGTCCTTGTCAAGGAGTTCTTCTTCAGTTGGTGGATGTATCTCCGTCATGGAATGAAATTTTTAGTTCCTCTCACGAAGTTGTACGAATACTTGCTTGGATACTTGGATGGCTCATCTTCACTGGCTGTGCGGAGTCCAACATGATTTTCATTTTTTCGAAGTTTCGTTGGTTTAGCCACTGTAGTTCTCTGGAGCCCCGAGGTAACCCTAGCCAAAGTCTGTTCCAGATCGTCAGCACCACAGGCAGTCGTTGCTCTTGTGGATCAGAAGGTGATTTGCCACCGTACAAGTAGTTTGGTGACGGATCCAGCTATTGGTTTACTCTTAGCTGGGTTTCCTAATGGAAACGTAGGATTTTTTCTCACCTTAGGAGGCCCTACTGGGAAAATGAATCTCCCCGCTGTACATCGCATGCCGACACCCATGAACACCTGGCCACTACAATGAGGCGGTAAAACGTTGGGAGGCGAGGACTTACAGGATACAGAAAACCGGTGCATATCTATCCACACACATGTTGGCTAGTTCTAGTGATAAATTGAATCCAACACATTCGAATAAACCACACTGTGTACCTACCTAGATCACAGAGTGACCACACAGTGGTTTTAGATCAGTGTCATATTTCGCAGTCTAAAGGACTGGTGAAGAAATCGGTCTAACTTGTAAGCTCGAAACTGGTTGTGATTGGTCACACTAGGCGCACACATGAATAATTGTACGATTGAATAAAAAACAAACAAACTATGCAACAAATACAACCACAACGTTGCTGAGATATTTGCAAAACTCTGGACCGCAGGTGTCTATGGTGGGGAACGAACGGAACTCCCCGGAAAGGACAATAGCGCGTTTGTTCCCCACCATAGACACCTGCGGTCCATAGTTTTGCGAATATCTCAGCAACGTTGTGGTTGTATTTCGCTTAGTACCCTGCCGCGTAATTATAGTAGGCAGAAAATAAAAAGGTATAACATTATGCAACAGATAAATGTGTAAAATATAAATATATAAACGACATCAAGTATAAAACCAATTAAATAAGACGTAAGCTTTATTGGTAACGTGAGTCAGATCGTACCTGTCTGAATGAGGCATCATGGCCAAGTGTCTGCCGTCATGACTGCAAATCGCTGCCACTGAGCTCTCGGACCCATTTGGATTCCATGGATATGTCATAGTAGGCTGGCCATCACTATCCACATATTGCATAGCGATCAGCCCAGAACTTTTTAGTGAATTGAGCACCTCGGGGTTACGATAGACGAAGCGACCTCAAAGGCACTAGCTAGCATTTCCTTGTACTTTTAATGCATTTAAACATTATATGTTATTACTCTGTACTAACTGATAAGAAAAGTCTAAGAATCCATAAAGGATACCGCTTTTGTAGGTTTAGAAGGCAATAAAGAGTTACCTTCACCATGGGAGCTCCACAAGCCCAGAACAGCACCAGCCATGTCTTTGAGCCAGATAGAAGAAGAATCTAGGATCCGAACTGGTCCAAATACAGACTCAAAGCGGCCGCAAAGGTTTTCGGCAAGAAAAACGGATGGAGATCCTTCTTAAATGCAGCCATTACTATAAGAATCAGTGACGCTGATTTGTATGCATCATGGAAAAGCCTCCAAGTTGGATATGCATCACAGAAGTGAAATGATAAGGGATAAAACGTTCAGCGTTTCTCAATCCCTTAGAGATGGGCGATGCCTTCGACTTTATCAAGCACATTTAACTTTGAGGTGATTGAATGCATATCTAGCCTTTACAATGACTCGTGGTGGCCTACCGATGTATCGAGCCAGTGCTGCTATCCTCTCAACAAGCCTGGTATCAATTTACTAACCCTGTAGTGATGGAAGGCTTGGTGAGCCCGGTGCGCATGACAAAACTAGGGATCAATTCAGTGGGTAACGAAGAGAACCTTTAACCACTGCGTTACGAGCGCGCTTTATTATTTAATTCTGAAGTATACGGTCAAAATGGTGTTTAAGATTCTGCCTGAATTTCAGCTATTTATGCTTCACCGTGGAAATTAAGACAGTAAAAATCTACAGCGAGAATTATGCCTTCTACAAAGTCAAAAAACTTAAACATCAAGGTTGTCGCTCAGAAGGACATCTAAGGGCCTCTGCACCAACAGGAACCTTGGACTGAAAGTAGACAAACAGGATGAGAAACCACATGAGTTCATCATAATGAGCAAAATAATCCATGGTAAATCACAGTTCTAGAAACCTTGATCTCGATGTCGAACGCCGAAATTCTCCGGAATGGAGGATCGAAATGAAATTCACCGCGCCATATTAAATTAAAAGTTTTGCTTAACGGATGTCGTTGCTTTCTCAGAGCTTTACAATTATTCGACTCCTCGTATTTTCCACCATTCGTTTTTCCAGAGAAAGATGAGAGAGCCGTGGAGCCGTTAGATAGAGAAAAGGTCGAAGTCTCAAAATTACCACAAATCTGGAACTCCTTTTCTCTATGACCGATTTTTGGGGTGTCGTTATCAAGAGTGCTGATGGAGAATGTGATAATCTCGGACAACATATCCACGACCACACTAAAAAAAGTGAGTTTAAGGTCAACAAAATAAGTAGATCTGCAAAAACTCTCGAGCTGATGAACTAATGTGGAGGCACACGAGCCATAGCTAATTTTAGAAATTACAGCGATAAAGGAAAGTCCTGGTAAGTTAAAGAAGCTCCACAAGTTCGAAAGACACTAGCTACACCTGTTGGCTGTTCGCCAGCACCATAGTAATCGCCCTCCGGCTTTCGAACAAAATGACCACTTCATAAATGAAGTGGAGAAGGTCACACAAAATTTCTACTCCTACGTTCATCTGTGTACCGTTCTCCACATCAGTTAAGCGAGGGCGAATACATCATACCAATGACGGTCCTTTCTGATGTGTGGCGGTCTACATCATCGGTCAAGAGACAAACAGCACACGGTCCAAATAGTACCATACTCGGATATGTAACGATGTACCATCTGTTTTCATGTTTACATTAGTCTGGCTTTCTAGTTACTAATTGCCACAATGCAGGTCGTTAATCGAGAAAAAAAAACTAACAGGAGCGTGTCCTTGCTGAAGAAGGGAGACCTATATGAAAACGGAAACCGTTATCCACCTACCTGCCTCACATCTTTTGTCTACGATAGTTTTACATTTTAATAGTTCATTCTCAGAACGTTAACAGAAAAGTGGAAGAAGAAAAGTTGTGCGAGCAAGTAGGATTCCTAAACGAAAGTAGTGCGATGGATACTCGCAAAATAAAGAAAATCATTGAAATGTTTACAGCGAGGGTTTAGGATTCCTCTATGTTGGACTTTCATTCACTTCAGGAAGGCCTTTAATTTAGTTAAGAAGAAGCGGCTATCGAACTTTGTACTAACAAAGTGTCCCTACTCAATACATAAAATTCGTTTATAAATTGTGTATCAATTTCGAATCAGATTCTTCTCAATCTACAACGTCAATAGTGTAGTTAGAAAAGTGATACCGCGCACCAAGTGTCTTAATGAACGTTTGAGAAGCCTCAATAATATCTGTAAACCGAGATGAAAGTGACAACAGTGTTCCCGACCTCTCCATCGAGATGACGTTTATAGGTGAAATTCATATCACATAAGTGAAGGAAGATATACTAAGTTTTAAACTATACAAAAGGGATGAGTTTGCCGTTAAAATAATTCATATGGATATTTCATAATTGTTTCATAATTAATATCTTGTTTAAAAGAAATATCCACAATGATGCTGAGATCTTTGCAAAAACTTCGGACAACAGCTGGCTACGGTAGGGATCACAGCATTCAATTAGAAATGAAGACTAGAAAAGAAGAAATAGCATCTAGTGAATTACAGACAGAGAGATTCGCTGGGAAAAGGCAAACGGACAGCCTCAGTCTCACAGTGGATAACAAGTGAGTCCCCGGCAACTGTAATCATTGGTTCGAATCTGCATTGGGGTCTGAGTTGCGCAAATATCTCAATATCACTGTGGTTGTATTTCACAAAACACGCTGCCATAAGAAAATAATAGGCAGTAATTAAAAAGTTGAACATAGAGATTATTTTTTCTCCATGACCCTTCATCACGTCTACTGCACGGATCCCAGGTTCAGCATACAAAGTTGACCTGTTATGTATGTATAGAATGGAACGCACCTGATGTTGATTAATCCCTGAGACATCCGCCATGCATTAGACTTCATCGAGTATCGTGGAAGTAGTTTAATGCGTATCTGTTTTATACAATGAGTTGCAGTAACCTACGAGTGTGTTCTATGGGGAGTTCATAGCGCAGTGGTTAGAGGCAAAATGCGGTGCGCATTGGATCTTTCGCTGGTTCAATCTCATTTCTTGGGCTTACCACGTTTTCCATCTCTCTGAGGTCGAAAAATTGACACCAGACTTGTCTGGAAGGATGAAAACAATGACTTGATACATCGGAAGCATGAGAGTATAATGTGTAAAGTATTCATGGACAAACAGATTTTGATATGGAAAGCAGATAGGTACACGAATGGTTAACTGGGTCCTTGAAATAGCAAATATTTTTAAAGGAGACAACCATCCTGTTTGATGTATGGACGATCCCAATCCTTAGTTTCATACAAATTTTGTTACCTCCATAGATTAGCGGTCTCTGGGCGAAGAAATAATATGTCAATGCAATCAGGTCGACTCATGAGGATGTGCTACTTAACCATGTTGGTGTCTACAATGAAAAAGCTAAAATCCTGTTGCAACTTACCGTATTCGCCAACCCAACCAAGGTGGGCCATTAGCTGACATCCGTTGCAGACACCGAAGGAAATGGTGTCGGTTCTGCTGCGGAACCGCGAAAACTCAACACGAACAACGGGGTTGTAACGGATTACAGCTGCCCAACCTCAAGTAGAAAACATCTTTCACTTCTAAGAGAATGATGAAAATGTAAATCGCATTGTGATAGTCTACTCAATGCCTAGTTTCGGAAAAGGAAAGTTAGAAAGGTTGTAGATCATTAACTTGATAACAAAATTTTGGTGTACATATTCATTTCTGTTAGAATTGAACAATTAAAATTGCAAAAAGTAAGTTTCCTTCTCTGAATAAAGCTTATAAAGAAAAATTAACAAACCTTTAGCTGAACCGAGGACATCTGCATACGAGAATCCTCCAACAAACGCTGCTACTCTGAATGTTTTTATTAAACACCTCCAAACACCTCTACAGGCAATTTCTTTACCAGAAAATTTATTAGTTTACCACGGTAGAAGACCTATACACTATGGCGTTGTTGAATACATGAGATATCCCTTCTTTCACAATTTATTTTAATCTCTCTTAGAAAAAAAACTTTCGGCAAATCTGCCCCATAGTTTTGGTTCTTGATCTTTGATAACACAAGAATTTTCACAAATCCACGACTGCTGAATTCTCTGGACTGGAAAAAGTTATCTCCTAGCGGAAAGGCTTCGGAAATGACCTGTACTGATCTAAGGAATGCCCTGACAACAAATCCGTCATAGTCACGTCATGTGCTTCGAAGCCTGCCATCGTAAATGCGGCCGCCATCTCTCGATCGCCGTTGGAGCCTTCTTCACGAATAATCGCTACTCGTGGGGCTTAACATTCACCATTCTCTGTATTTAAAAAACTTTCGGCGTATTTCTGAGCATACCCGATGTTAAACATTGCTCAGTTGTGAGTACATACGCATCATGCCAGTGAAATGGAGCTGAATATGTCACAGTTTTAATCACCGATCTAACCTGAAAAGATCCAGCACAGGTGACGTTGGTGACCTCAGAAGCAGATTAAGCAGCAACCTACTTGTTTGCCTTCCTGTAGACAGACGGCACTCGTCTGCATGAGACCGAGGCGATCGGATGTCTCCTCCCAAACTTCACGCAGAGCCACCAAATTCTCCTTAACCACCTGTTCGCCATTAATGACCACTTCAACCTTAAAAAAATCATGTGGTTATTCTTCTTGGTATCGTACCCCCTTAGAAAAAGAAATAGCATGAGTGAACTTTGCTACCAAGGTTCTCGCCAGACTCTAAAGACGGTTCGCTCTCAAATTCCATGAAAATAGGATAAGGCTTGTGCCCTATCCTACTTAAAGTTATTATTGATTCACTGTTTAGTATGCATATACTACTTGATGGTTTTCATGAGACAAATGTATGGGTCTATATATAGATTTCTTGTTTTGTATTCTATTGCTTTTTTCACTGCTGGATTCTAAAAAAATTTTTGGGATTTGTTTTTAAAATTTCCAATCTTTTAATGGAGTTGCTTTCTTAGTGAAGTGTTATCATGCTGCTTTCTTCTCACTTAGATAATTTCAAGAAATTCTTACAGTACTCGATCATCTTTGCTTAATATTCTTTTCAATTAGAAATTGAATAAACTTCCTTTTTTTAAGTAAAACAACTTCCCTTTTGGAAAGCAGCTCTCATTTGACATTGGTATAAGTAATTCAAATTTTGTTGTATTGATATGCTTACAATATGCTGTTACAAAAAAGTTTTATGGTGCCAAACGTTTCTTCACATTCGGTGTGATTGGTCGATTCGCACCCCTTGGCTCAAGAGAAAGCGGTGGTGTCGAAACGTTAGCCACAGTAAAAGATTATTGTAACTACCTCGTATCGGCTTACAAAGACAGCAGGATATTAAAACAACTTAGTAGAAATAAACTGGATTCCCGACCGGTCAGTGGCGAAGTTATATCACGTGTTTTTGGTGAATAGGAGAGTTAAAAGCAAACGATGAGCGACATTTTATTTTTGCCTCAGAACGCACGTGGATTCTGAGGACAGATTCCACGTCGTAGTTGCGTCGAATCAGCAAATATCTACCATGGCACCTATATAATATTTATATATATATATATATATATATATTCTGGACATGTATGCGGGTATGTGGAGTGTACACTTCACTTTGATTTGGCCACAAACTTTTTTTTTCCTTAGGTGACGAGGAAATGCAGGTGAGGTGGGTCAGCTCGTCTTCTTAGAATTAAGTTTAACCACTACGTTGGCAAAGTCCAGAGCGCTAAGGTATTTCCCTCAAAAAAAAAAAACAGTAAAAGCAAAGGACTTTGTTACCCGCTCCACCAATCAGCCCTTGATACGGCTGGCAGATATGAACAGAAAGAGTGATAAAATCTCACGTCTATTCCACGCTGCCAGCATTCATTAAGGCAATGCCAACGACGTGTTATTCATTTATTAAGAACCTGACGATTCAAAGAAAGAAGATTAGATAGACACAGTACTATCGGACCATCTGTTAGGTGAAGAACTTGTCCATTAAAAGACGTTTATGATAGTGATCAAGAAATACTCTTTGGTACATGCTATAGCAGAGGAATAGGTGGAGTTAGTTTTATGGTTAAGAAGATGTGGAACAATGTCAGTTTTCACAATCTCCGTAATGTTCTCCGCAATGTTAAACTGCGACAAAGACGAAGGTCCATACGTAGAGTGACGTGAAAATCCTCACAAAGCCATTCATGAATGAACAGCTGCCTGAGTTGACTATCATGACTAGTACAATTCACAGTGATTCACAACTTCAAAAGCCTTCTCTTAACGTTAGACGAGGTACACTAGCAAAGCAGTGTACCATAACGCAGCAGTTCACACTATGCTAAATTGAAGATCCTGCTTCACCGAAGTTACTCTCCCCAAGCAGTTCAACATGGCATACAATAACCCTCTCATAAGGACTTAAGTTCTATACAGAATTCGATGTACGTCCCACTCTCAGTTTCGATTCAGCTTCATTGTACCTGACTCATTCTGAAGTAGCCGTTTCTGAGAGCTTCTACTGTGGAATCAACATGTCATAGTGAAGCAAGGAGGAAAAATCGGACAAAAATAGGTGATGTCATCTCTGATTGACGGCAATGAATAGATAGTAGATGGATGGATGGATTTCGTACGCATTTTATGACGAACGATGTCTATTAATAGAAATCGTACTTACGGTTAATCACATGTCCTTATCGATGTCATAACCACCACTAAAGCGATTGGTAGCGGTAGTTCACAGGTCGATTACTTTGCCTCCCTCAGCGTAAACCTCAGAAGTCTCTTCGGTGGTGGTAGCAGTAGTTTTTCTTAATTTTCGTAAACTGATAAATCCTTTTAATTTTTGGAAATCTTTACGACCGCTACTTTTCACTGGCTATTTACGGTATTAGGAAGGAGGAACTAGATAGAATAAGGAAAGCAGCTTGGGTCGCATCCAGGCCTCTCAAAGAAGCCACCGACCAACTGAAGGACCCGAAAATCCGCGCTCATTTCGATTCTATGGTCCTTCCAGCGTTCTGTTATGCTGCAAAGACGTGAGTTGATACATCATTCACGACAAGAATACATCGGACCACTCACAGAGCGCTTGAGCGATGTCTTCTGAAATATAAGCGGCACTCTCAATATCTAGCCGGAATGCGAAGCTCTGACCTTTGAAATCTGTCACATCTTCGAGATCCAGGAGAATATACATCGACAACGAAACATAGATGGGCCGGTCACATAATGAGAAGAACAGACGACGACAGATGGACGAAAAGAGCGGCAGAGTGGACTCCAAGAGAATACAAACGTCCCATTGGACGAACATCTACAACTTGGGCGGACGTGTTCGTAAACAAGGTTAATCAGCTGTACTCGCAGCTGCAGTTGTTTTACAGATCACGTATGAAAGTCGCACGCGCTACCATGTTCGAGCAAAACCACCACCATGGACTACGATTGCGAGAGAAAGGAACGAATGGCATATGAGCTGTGGTCCGCACCGTTCGTGAAGACAGATCGTCCAAGTATCCAAGTATCCAAGTTTAGGGTATTTCAACAAAGGGCTACTAGCTTTCGCTTAGTTCGCACGCTGTTATCTTCGGAAATAGTTTACATAATATATTCGTGGGGCCTTCTGAAAAAAAAAAAACAGCAGCGCAGTGCTGAACAAATAGCCAACTCTCTAGTGCTCACCGTCGCATCCGGTCCATATTGCGGATATACCTCTCCTATGAGTTTCACTTCGGCATGTCCTTTGAGATTTCCAATGACACGAGTGGAATGCCGCTGTTCAACTTCAACAAATATGCCAGCTTCTTCAGCAAACAAAAACGCTATTGGATCTAAAAAATGTTTTGAGTGATTAACGTGATAGACGAGAAGAAGATTTTCTTCAGAACCTTTTGATTCGCAAGTGATGTCAGCTTTAAACGAAATGTTTCCAGCGAATGACATCTCGAGCAGCGCCGTGATGAAACCACCATCAGAAACATCGTGCACTAAAAACTGATGTGTTGAAGGAATCCGCATAGCGGGTATCGTACTTGATAAAAGTAATGAGCCGATCATAACTTCTATAAAACCTTAAGCGCAAAGAAAGAAATGGTAAATCTCGGGACCGACTTATTAACCTCCACATTACTCAATAAGTTAGTGTTTTCTTGGGTGGACACGAAGTTTTCAACAACACTATTTATTTAGTACTGGGTAGTGTTCTCGCCGTTTTGCCTTCGTCAGAGCTTGGAGGGGTCTGATTGACACATAATCTATGCTCAGCCAAACACTTTCATTTCTCAGTAGGTGAAAATTAATATTATTAGGCAAAGCAAGAGCCTCGGTGTTGCAGTGGGCAACACGTGAACCCTCGGAAAGGGTAACCACCGGTACGAAGATGACGTTTTGCTCATATCTCACCATCACTGCGGTTGAAACTTAATAAACAAATTTGATTCGCATCACAAATGGTATCTTTTAAACACAGACCATTTCATTCTCTACGAGTGCTCCACTTATTGTTAGAGACCAGCCGCACAGAAAAACTCAGGCTAAGGATATAGCGCGAGGTCACGCGTAATTAATTACAAGGCACTCCTAGGTGCCGTTAATTTTTGCATTTGGAATTTGTCCGAAACGCTTCAAGACTCTTACGCGATGGTGTTTTAGATTTCTGTGAGTGGATAATGACTTTTAAGTCAAAATCTCCCCCGTTTTGTCTCTGTGCCCCATGCGGGCCTAGCGGAGTGTTATGCTTGACTCTAGGTTTCCTAACTAGGAACTCTTCCAGAGGGCATGTGTAGCGCAGTGGTCGGAGGCGCTCTACATTACAAATGAGGTCGAATCCCACACCATGGACCCACCAAGATCCCCAACCCTGCGGAGTCGACAAACCGGTACAAGGGACTTGTCTAGGAGGATAGCAGCACCGGCTCAATACATCGGTGGGCCACCGCAAGTCATTGTGAAGGCCAGATATTCAGCTAGCACAAAGCGTAGTAATAATATTTCGAAACCGACTTTCTCTAAACCTCGGTGTGACTAGTCAATATGTATTCTTTCTTGATAAGCTTGCACGAGGTTGATAAATATATTTATTTTCGGCTAATGTTTCGACGTCTTCGTCTTCCTCTATATTTATCAACCTCGTGTAAGCGAATACATATTGATTAGTCACACCGAGGTTTAGAGAAAGTCGGTTTCGAAATATTATTACTACGCTTTGTGCTAGCTGAT